AGAATTCTAGGTTATTTGCGCGGTTTTGTGAAGAAAATGACGAGAACTTTCATCGATTACACTTTCACAGTGAAGTTGGCTATCATAAGCTTTTTGACTTTTAAATTTTTTAGACTGCTTTAGCATTTTTGGATGCTAAAGATCATATTTTCAAAGCAAATTTAATCAAATGGGAACCAAACGTTGCTTTTTTAACGGATTTGTTTACTAATTTAATGTAGTTAACTTGCAGAAAGGTGATACACTAAATTTAATAAAAACCAAATCCCAAATTGCAATTCTTGCCAGAATTTACCTAATGAAACAAAACACCTGGACGTCGGAAATTTTCTTAGTTTCCTAATATGTCGCAGACAAACTGCCAGGATGCTGACATTTCGGCCTACGTTCAAGATTTAAATGCCATTCACACAGACTTTAAAACCAGGTTTGAGGTTGTTATGTCTATAGAAATACCACAGTGGATTATCAATCCATACGGTGACATTGAAGAATCGAATGTCATGTTACAAGAAGGACTGATTGGAATAAACACTAACAAAGAACTTAAGGTGCAGTTTAAAAAAGGATATCAGCAATTCCGGATTCAGGGAGACAATTTGTTACTTATCCTACACTATGGACTTTCGCAAGAAAGTTTTTGATAACTTTTCCATCATTTTTGCCCGTGCAAAGTGTTTTCAGCACAGGTGCCAGTCTTCCTACTAAAAAAAAAAGAAAAAAAAAAAAAAAAAAGAAGAAGAAGAAGAGAGGGGAAGGAAAGAAAGAGACAGATTTGGAAATCACTCGCCGATTTAAGGTTAAGCCTAACTAATTGAAACCAAATATGAAAACCTTGCCTTCAAAGCGTCAGGTTAATCCCTCTACTTAAAGCACATTTTTTTTTTTTTTTTTTTTGTGTGGTGTGTGTGTGTGTGTGTGTGTGCTTTTTTGCTTTTTTATGTATACGAATAAAAACGTACTTTTTTATTTATTTTAAAATTTTCCAATCTACAGTAAACCCCGGTAGCGAGTAGCTCTGGGTAAGCTGTCAAAAACACGTCTGAAATTCATTATTACGATTGCGTTCCAAAACACTCGGCCAGTGCAAAATTTCACCTGACAGCTGTCATTATCAGGTAAATTTTCACCTAAGGTGAATTTTGCGCTTGTCCCGTAACATTTCTACACATTTTGCTTTCAAGAGTATTTTTGGAACGCCTTGGGTAAAACTTTACCCTCGGTTTTACTCTACTTTGGAACTCTGTAGTATAAATATTAGACTGCACAACTGATTTAGGAACAACCGCTAGGGAGAACTTTACAAAAAAACAGAAAAACCGACAAGTAGTCTACGAGACAAAAATATCTGGGAACTTCTGATTTATATTCTCCCTCTAATCAAATTTAATAAATAACTTTTAATGATACTTAAAGCTACAAAAATTCAAATAATTATTTAGTACAACTAAAATTACTAATCGGGTTGCTCTATGAAAATTCTGCTCTAAAATCACGGCTATATTTATGGAAACAACCACCGGGAACATAGCGCTTTATATTATTATCTCTTTCTAATCAAATTAATTAATAACTTTTTAAAGTCACTTAAAGCTTCAAGCACAACTAAAAGTAACAGCTGCATGACAGCGAATTCTCCTGTAAAATCACAGCTATATTTATAGACGATATTTTATGGAAATAAATAGCGAAATTAACGTTTTCTCAATTCTCATTGAGCATAATTCGAACCGAAATATTCAACTGATTAAAACTAAAACATATTTCACGTGTGACTCAAAGTAATGCCCAAGTACAAAACAGATTCTTTTTTTCCTTCTTTCTTTTTCTTTTAACTGATTTATTTATTTTTGAGAGAGAGAGAAAAGTGGAAAGTCTAATGAACAAACACTGAAAAACTGTAAACATTTCGCCGGAATTTTAATTTTATTTTATTTATTTATTTCTTAATCCACAATCAATATTAACATGATTCCGAATAAATACTAGTTAAGGCTATATGCATGGGGAGTATTTAAAAATAAATAAAATAGTAGTTTAACAGTAGCTCTCATTTAGTTAAAGAAATATTTTATATGAAAGCAAATTTTATTCTAACTTAATTAACAAATTCCTCGAGGCAAGGTGAAAACATCAGAAACTGCAAATTTTGAAATTAAATATCTCGGTCAGTTTTTGTCATGCGTAAGTCAAACTTCTTTATTTTTATTGTTTCATAACGAATATAAAACTTTCCCAAATATAAGTGCAGGAACCGGGGAACGGCTTTAAAAGTTAAATTTCGTTATTTGTCCAAAATTGCTTTTTTTTTTTTTTTTTTTAATTTGTCATTTAATTTTAATTTGTCATGAACATTATCGTTATTCAAAACACTTCTCTAATGAAGTTATAGGACTTATGACCAACGATTGCAAAAAGCAAAGGCTAAAGGCTGGTTAAGGACTTTTAAACCGAGTAAGGGAAATGGGTGTCTATACTTTTGGTACCGCCGATTGCAATGAAAAAGGGATGTGCACAATTAGATGTTATACCAGCCCATACAAAATTTCAAAGTTTGATGGCTAATAGTTTTTAAATTATGGGAGACACAAAAAAATCCATTTTACAGTCCGTTTTGAATAAATAGTCCTCTATTCTGTCTGTACATGCAGACGTCACAAAAAAATAGTCAAAATGAATTCGAGAACGATCAAAATAGATATATCCATTGAAATTTGACAACTGAAATTTTTCGCCATTGCGATATTTCCTTTACTTTGTACAAGGAAGTGAAAATCGATAAATTAAATTTACAGTTTCAATGCTTATTTCAAACAGCAGAGCTAAAATTCCATATAATTTTTGTTGAAAACCTTGCAAAATTTAAAATTTTTCTATGCATTTTAAGAACTTTTTAAATAATCAAAGCATGATGTTTCTACTAAAAAAGACTGCAATTTATAATTATTGTGGAAAATATAACACTTTAAAATAACAATACTACTTTAAAATACATACTCTTAATAATAATAAGCAGAATTATTATTATAAATGAAATGTAAAATTGATTTCATTCATATAACTTAAATATGGAAAAAAATTAATGATCAAATTTTAGAAAACAAAATGCATATCATCATTTAATTTAACAAGAAAAATGTAGACTTAACCATATAGGATAAAAAGAACAGCAAAAATTTATTGAAAAATTTAGTTATGTAATTACAGCAAGTTTTTATTAATAAAACACTTCAACAACCATAAAATTATTAAGAGAAATTTGGAAACCACTTTTTTCCTCTCTTTTATATATATATATATATATATATATTTGTTTGTTTGATTTCCTTTTTATTCAGTTTAGACAACAATAAAGCTACTAGATGAAAAGAAAGAATACTGTGAGAAAAATAATGTTCTACAGTACTCGGATAGTAAATAACTGCCAAATGGTGATAGAAAATAAGCATAAAAATACAGAAATTCCAAACATACTTGGAAAAAAAAAAAAAAAAAGCAGAAAAAAGAGAATACTTAAAGATAAAATTTTCTTCCCATCAAATTTTGAGTTAAAATTTTAAATTCGTTAAAATATTTATTTGACATAATATCTAAAATAATAGCTAATAAGTGCAATAAAATTAATTGCTCAGATGGTAATTATACAAAAGGTTCATAAAAAATTTCAGTTTTAGTTTTAAATTATAGCATTTTTTAATTATGGACACTCAAAAATTATGCATAAAAATTAAAATATGATACATATATCATTAAAATTAAACACTATATAATTTTACTTCTAATCAGAACATAAAGTTTTAGTATACATACAGGCTTTACAATCGGAATAGTAAACAATAAATGCTTCTCACATATACTATTTCTGTATATATTGATGTAAAACTTTATGATTAAAATCAAACTAAATATTATTTTGTTTATTTCTAATAAAATCTATTTATTTATAATTTTATAAAAAAACGAAAATTAAAAGCTTTCAATGGCAGTTAATTGTGAAAACAAAAAAATATTAATATTAAAAATTACAGTTGCCTAAATAACATTGGAAATAATAAAAATATATTAGGCCCAATTATACCAAAATCATCAATATATATATTCTTCTAAATTTATATTAGGAGATAATATAATCAATATTTCTTTAGTAAATAAATTATATACTATATAAGTTAATAGGAAACTATTAGTTTTAAACAGCTGAAATTTTTTAAAAGATTACTCTTTAATATAGGTTTCAAAAAGTACTTAAAAAAGTAGTTTTCAGCACGTTTATTTATCACTGAATAGTTATATTTCTGTTAGTTCTCAATAACTGTATCAAATTTAATGTAAATATAGAACTGTGTTTTGGAAATAATAAGCAGAATTATTATTATAAATGAAATGTAAAATTGATTTCATTCATATAACTTAAATATGGAAAAAAATTAATGATCAAATTTTAGAAAACAAAATGCATATCATCATTTAATTTAACAAGAAAAATGTAGACTTAACCATATAGGATAAAAAGAACAGCAAAAATTTATTGAAATATTTAGTTATGTAATTACAGCAAGTTTTTATTAATAAAACACTTCAACAACCATAAAATTATTAAGAGAAATTTGGAAACCACTTTTTTCCTCTCTTATTATAGATATATATATATATATATATATATATATATATATATATATATTTGTTTGTTTGATTTCCTTTTTATTCAGTTTAGACAACAATAAAGCTACTAGATGAAAAGAAAGAATACTGTGAGAAAAATAATGTTCTACAGTACTCGGATAGTAAATAACTGCCAAATGGTGATAGAAAATAAGTGAATATGACTATACTTTTACTACGCGATTTTACAATTTCTTGAAAGATTCGATAAGCTGGGGATGTTCAAATCACTAACGCGCAACAAGCACATGTTTATGTCTCGGCGGTCAGACGGTATCCATTTCCGTTGTCATGACAACTAGAGAACAAAAACTTTTGAAGAAGTTCATAGTACCTACCTTTTAAAGTATTAAATATTACTGGAACCCAAACATAGATTCCACACACCACTAAACAGCAAGAGTTCTACACTAGACTGCGAGGATGTAAAAATAATTGCGAGGCTTATAAGATCTTTATAACACTAAAACCGCGTACTATTTTTGTCAACAGCTCCTTAGCTGTACATAGCGCCATCTAGTGAATAACACCTGACATAATATTTTACTTGTCAAACGTAAGATGATAATCGAAAAATGGGTTACAAAGTATATTATATTGGATGAATTTTATTAAATTAAGTATTACCAATTCCTATTTTAGGATCCTTTTAGCAAAAACTCATTTTGGATAGCAATATTTCCACGCATACAATATTTAAAAAAAAAAAAAAAAAAAAGGATTTTCTTTTCTTCCAGTTGATAAAAATTAATTCAATACTGTCGATTGACTCTTGTTGTTCAGTTCAGGGTTTCAAATAGTAGCCTTTAAATTATATTTGTGCTTTTATAACATTAGATTGAGCAGTAATTAAATAATACATACACCGAATTATTAACTTTCATAGCAAGAAAAATTATTTTAAAATATAACGACACTGCACAGTTTTATTTAATTCAACAGTTCTTATGTATTTGTCTATAAAGCATTTGAAAAACATTTTTTTCGCATACTTATTTACTTCTTGCAAATCTGTGGATAATTTATTATGACCGTTTTTCTTAAAATAGATCGTTTGGTATGAATAGAATATTTAAATTATTTGATTTTAATTGTCCTTGTGATACGATCAAAGCACGTATTTAATTCAATGTAAAAATTAACTTTTCCCGCTACCACTAGAATACATAATGACTGAATAATCAGCTTTTACCAACTTAAATATTCAGAAACGAATATGCATTCTATTTGAATATTTTTAGAATACGTTAATATATTATATTGTCTCACCAGTAAATAAATTTATGAACTTGAAAATCAAATATTTCAGGTAATCTTCTTTTGAAATCAACTGAATATTCAGTATGTAAATCCCTAAAAACTTGGATTTATCCAAGTGCGTTCCATACTATTCATGCCACTTCTACATCTGAAACTTGTTCATCATAATCATCCTCTTTTTTCATCTTTCAAGCACTGGCTTTTGGTTAAGTAACCATGCTAGGGACACTCAATTCTGGATATAAATGCATCTCTATAAGTTAGGTTAGGTTATTTAATTACGGCAAAGCCTCGAGGGCTATCTGCCTAAGGGGAGGGATGCCTTCGTAGAGGACTTTCTAAGGGAAAGTGGTTCGTATACACGTTACACATGGGGAAAACCACGAAAACACAGCCACGAAACACGAAGCCAGCCCGTTCGCGTTTGCATCTCTATAATAAACTGCTATTGATATAAACCAAAACGAAATTGTGGGATTCTGTCAACAATTTTTTAATAAATATTTAGTTATTATTATTATTATTATTATTATTTTTTCTAATATACTGTATGAATAAACTCATAGCTTGTGGCCGAGTGACTATGATCGCTGAACAACAGACGATCAACCAAGTTCAAATTTATGCAAATTACTCTGATTGCATGGATCTTTTGATGATTCCCCTCCCCAAATATAACGTGAATACTAATCAGTTTTTCTTAGAAAATTCTCTACGAAGGCATCCGCCCTCCTCTTCGACAGATACACCTCATCTGCTCTGCCTTAATCAGTTATTATACCTTAAATAATGTAATTTCACGAAATATTGGATCAATGACGTCTCTAGGCTGAAACACATTTAACTCTCAGAATAAAGGGACCTAAAATTTCTAAATAAAACTGTGAACTGTAAAATTGTTTCTAATACTACAGATGTACGTTAAAAAACTTTACTTTGCCGAATAATGAGTTTATATATTCGTATATTTATAGTTGTTCATTATATTATAAGGTATTTCCCCCGCCTTGTTGGCATACCTTCGTTGTATGGTGGTCTGCACGCTGGGCGCGTGTTCCAGATGTCCGTGGTTCGATTCCCGCCGAAGGCGTTGCATATTTTTCATCTTGCCTGCTTCCAAAAAATACCTAATGTCTCTACAATATAAAGAATAATCTTTATTTTGGAGCAAAATGAGCTATTGACAAAACTGTGTTGTCAAAGTCAGCTATAACCAAAACATCAAATAATGGCTTAGTAATCAACGGCAGATTTGCGAAACGGAAAGAGCCTACTTTTGGAGGACCCCTCGCCTTAATTCATAGGACACATTTAGTGTTTTTCATGCTTCAGCACAGTTTCTTTTTTCTTTTTCTTCTTCTTCTTCTTTTTTTTTTTTTTTTTTTTTTTTTTTTAATGTAAGAGAAGTGATTTGGGACTTTTGTTTCCTGTGACTTGGCGTATAAGTCCATCCTTTCTAGCAGTTAATTGATATCATTTAACGAAGTTAATGAATTACGTAGCAATAATGCTTTCATACTTAAATTAAAGGGAATATTTTATCTCTGATAGTTAATTAGCTCAGATATTAAATTTTACTGAATTTGATTGGTCACATTTTTATATGTAGATTTGTAAGGACTTATTTAGTTTCAAACTAAACAGTTTTGTTCAGTTATTTTGTCTTTCTGTTTTCTCTCATGTCCATTTCTTGCTTCAGTTTTGAACGTTATGCAAAGTAGAATTTAAGCTAGTGTTTGAGTTACTTCAGGAAGTGCATGTTCTGACTTTGCTTGCTATTTTACGGCCGTGCATATTAATTGCTGGTTTGTCTACGTCGATGGTAAGACTAAGAACTAGCTCGCGTTACTGTTCAACTAGACTAATTATTTAGTTTTAATTTTATATTTCTATTTTGAGTTACAGCCAAAAGTGTTGACTGAGTTTCGTAGTGCCGACTGTATCTTTGAGTTGAATAAAATAGTCTTTTCACCCTTCGCATAGCTTGTATTTGATACACTTTGAACTTATAGTCGTTTCGCAGTTCAAGTAAAGATCGAGCCAACAAAATACCTTTAATTTAGCTAGAATCTTACAAATTATTCATTAGCGCAGCCTCACAAAAGTGATTACTTGGATGCTATGAAAGCCTGGTTGCCGTCAATATTCACTAGCCCCAGAACTAGAGTTCTAAGGGCCTAAGAATCGTTGAATAATTTCTCGTAATTTCATTTCGATTTCGTGAAAAGAGGAAAGGAAGCACTGTGAATTCCCGAAAAGATGCTGTGCTTAGGACCTTAAATCAAATCTCAACCATGCTATCGCAATATTCCAGATTCCCGCTAAAAGCTCATTCTGGAGAAGTACAAACTATTTCATGAAGAAGCTTAACAATAAAAAGTAAATACTAAGACACAATAACACGCCGAATACATACTCAGAAGTCAAACAACAAAAATCAGCGTTATACCTACAAAATTTTCACAGGACTAGTTTCGATGGTTTTACCGAACCATCATCTTCAGCTGCAAAACCGCAATCATTATTTCCTATCTTGTTCATTTGCGGTTTTGCAGCTGAAGATGATGGTTCGGTAAAACCATCGAAACTAGTCCTGTGAAAATTTTGCAGGTATAACGCTGATTTTTGTTGTTTCACTTCTAAGTAAATACTATTTTCGTAAGAGGAAGAACTGTAGTGCTTTGCCTTTAATATACAACAATGAGTTTGAGTGTAGGTGATTCTAGGTTTAAAAGTAAAAACAAAAGAAAATTTTTAAGAATTTAAAAGAAAGTTACTTTTACTTCAGTTTCTTTCAAAAAAAAAAAAAAAAAGAAGAAGAAGAAGAAGAAGAGGTGGACAGCCCTTGTGTGTTTTGTCCCTAATCTATTGATCTAATTTAACTAGTCGCTGACAAAAAAAAAAAAATAAAAGTCTGGTTTAAAATGAGTAGGCTTATTTTATGCAACACATAATTGTAAGGTTTCATTTATTTTTACTAATATTTACTTTAATTTGTGAGCCTTTCCTGATTTCTCTTACTTCCCTCGCGTTTCTTCGTCAGGATGTAAATGAACTAGGGTGAAAGACAGTATTTAAACTGTTCGAACGAAAAGTTTATTCAGAGCGTAATTTTCCTCTGGGAGCGCACGTTGCTGTTTTCTTCCAACTTCTATCGGCTACACATTCTTGCCGCCCAGTTATTATTCTGCCGTTGTAGGTTCTGAGTCATTAACGTAAATTGATTTGTGTGGTCTCGCACTACTCTTTACCTTTAAATTTAGTCTTCCATTATCTTTTAATTTCTCGCCGCAAGTGTTCGGTTTTTGTAAGCACGTAAGTTCGGGCTGTCTGTAAATTATATTGTGTTCAATAAAAGAGTCTTTTATCCCCTTCTCTGGTTGTTTTTATCTCCAAGCCTGTGGGAGAATTCACAAGGATTAATACTTAGGTAGATCTAGTTATATTTTATGATAACTAAACGAACGAGATCTTACATAATAAATTGAAACCATGAAAATAAAATATACAAACAAAGGAGATCTTTTTAGTTTTGTTTTTCTCCTTGTTTAAATAAATTTAAACAAAACTATTTAAATTGTGATTCAGGATTCTAAAGGATTCTATTCATTCTAAAGGAAATAAAAGTGTAATTGAATGGTATGTGAATATGGATTGGCTTGCAAGCAAATATAACCGCCTGCATTGTGAGAGCGGCATAAAATTGACGGAAAGAAAGCTGACAGCGTTGAATGGCGTCTAATTATCACAAATTGCATTCAGGATATTAAACGGAATGTTAGAATGAACATGGGTTTCTCCAAAGGTACATTTTAAAGTTTAAGACACTTTTGTCAACGTGTTATTGGGAAGAACTGAAAATTCTAAATGAATCAATTATGCATAAGTTGCAAGTGGTGGTTTACTTAATTACGACAAAGCACGTTCTGGTTGTCTGTCTAAGGAAAGGGATACCTTTCTGGAAACCATTCTAAGAGACATTGTCTCGTAACTACGTTACGCGGGAAGAAAACCACGAAAACCCTCATGCAGCCAGTCTATTCTTCTAGATTTGAACTTCTGGGTGAAACTACCAGTAATCTGGTACCACTGGTAGGCGAGTTGAAAATGAGCAGCAAGATCATAACCGATTAGAATTATCTTTTCAATGGTATTTTGTGAGAAAGATATGAATGAATTTGGCGAAGATGATATTCCACTGAAATAGTAATAAT